GGACGAGCCGGTATTGTCCCCCTTCCCATGAGACTGCAGTTGCCCCGTCACTGCCAGCTCATACCTGGCTTTCCAATAAGCTCTGAGGTGGCGGCCACTTTGTATGCGGTCCAGATGCATTTCTGCCAAAAGCCACTGGGTTTGGACATTTGTTTCTGAGTCTCTGGCATCATGGCCGTTAATCAGCTTGATGGGGAGCCAGAGAGGCCATTTGTAGGTGGTCACTTGGGGTCTTGTTGGGATGGGATGGAAAGGGCTCGATTCCACCCCTATCTGGTAATGCCTCACGTGTCCCGTTACTGCAGGCCCAAACCTGACTGTCCAGTGGCCTCTGGATGATGGCAGTCACCGGGCCACCAGTGGGAAAAGGCCAAGGCATGAAACCTATTCCCACCTGGAGTGGCCTAGCGCCAGTAAGCTACTGCAGGAACAGGACGCATTTCTGCCAAAAGCCTTTGGGTTCAGAGATTCGCTTCTGAGTCTCTGGGATCATGACCGCCAAGCAGTTTGATTAGAAACCAGAGAGGCCATGCCTCCAATTATATAGCTGAGCCGGAGGTGGTTTGTGGGTTTGTCTCCCACATACCTAACTTTTGGCCATTTACTTTCTTGGTAAACTCTGCCCCAAGTTTTTGGGGTCTGGCCAAAGGCACAGCAGCAATTTGGGAGTATCTGAAAGTCTGACAGTGCCCATGACGCTGCTGATGCACTCGCCTCACAGGTACAGATTGACCTGCTGGGAGCACCATACCCCCTTGTATGACATTTAATAGTAAACAATTACATCCTTTTTCTTGTGAGGAAACCAAGGCATTTACAGATCACTTAATATTTACACACATAATTTTAAAAGAAGTATCTGAAAAGATAAGTTATTAAAATAATAAGTATGGTTTATTACCGGTATTGAATGTCAACGTTTAGTGAATCTAAGAAAAATATTCCTTTGTGGACTCATAATTTACTGACAGTTTTGAAGATAGACAATGCTTGGGACTCTTTAAGCATGGTTTTGTGAACGAATTCTTGCTGCCTAGAGATTACAGTATATGTTGAAATGAAAGATTCTTGAGGGTATTTAAGTTTTCTGAATGAGGCTGATTATGCTGCATAATAGGAGCCTTGCCATGTATCCAGTAGAAATTGTTTTACTTGTAGGCAGCTTTTTACTTTAATTTAGTATTATTTATAAGCATAACTTGGTAAGTAATTAGCTTATTATTAAAAATAAAAATAATTTTTTAAATTTACGTTCTGCTTGGAAAGCAGGTACGTTTTTTAGCCAACTCTGTTATTAATACTCCGGAAGTGAACTACGTGAGTTTATGTGGGGGAAATGAAGAATTGAAAAGACTTTTAATCAGTCTTTATAAAATAGGAAATCAGATTATTTCATCACTGACTTACAAGCATGTCAGTGATGAATAAGCAGACTCAGTTTCTGCCGCCACTCAGATAAATGGAATCTCCAGTTAAAATTTCTTTTACTATAGAATGGCTCAACTTGCGCCTTTTGTTCCTATTAAAACCTGTTGACCGGGCTAGAGAGATAGTACAAGGGGAAAAGTGCGTTCCTTTCACACAGCCGACCTAGATTAGATCCCTAGTACTGTATATGGTCCCCTGAACGCTTTCAGGAGTGATCCTCTGAGCACAGATTCGGGGAGTATGCCCTGAGCACAGCAAGGTGTGCCTCCTCCACCAAAACAAAGTTTGACATGTAAAATTCCAATTCATAATTTATCTGTGGATAGTCAGTATTGACATTTTTTAAAGTTTCTGTGGTTTGTGAATGACAGTACATATTTCATATTCTGTATTCTGGGCAAAATACTTTTGAATGTTATTTCTGCTTTAGGCTTCTTTTACTATCTTCCCTGCTCTCTTTCTTTGTCCTTTCCCCATCTGAGGTTGATTGTGGACTGAAAGTTGAAATTAACTAGATGAAATACATTATTCCTGTTTCTCATGTCTTGAACTACAGGCTAGAGTTTAACTTTGCCTTGGAGAAGTTATTGGAAGAGTATTGAGAGATCATACTCTGCATCTCAAAACAATTGATGTTTAATTACTTACAGCTGGGTGGCTAACCTTGCCATTTTAATGGAAGGTGAACTAATACCTGCAGTCCTATGCTTTATCCTGTGGTCCTGGCATCTCAAATGAATTAAGTTTATGACAGGACATTATCAAGAAAATCAAATGTCTGTGTTTTATTTTCTCACCTGAGCATAAAACCATAGGGATTTGATTGATTGATTGTTTTGGGCTATACTCAGCAGTATGCATGGCTTATTCCATATTTTGTGCTCAGGGCTTACTCCTGGTTCTGTGCCCAGGGATCACTCCTGAAGGTCCTTGGGGGACTATATGTGTTGATACAATTTGAACTGGTGTTTGTTGCATGTAAGGCAGGCATCTTAACCCCAGTAATACTGCACCAAAGATATTATTCTAACTTTAGGGCTAGAGAGAGAGCACAAAGGAGTGGAGTTCACACTTTGCATGCCAAAGGGTATGTGGGACGGGATGGGGAAGAGCAGAGAGGGAATGGAAGAGGGAGATGGAAATATTTCAAGCTCACAATTACTGATTCTTTTTCACTTTTTTAATTGAATCACCATGAGATAGACCCTTACAAAGCTGCTCATGATTAGGTTTCAGTCATACAGTATCCCAACACCCATCCCTCCACCAGTGTACATTTCCCAGCACTAGTGTCCCCAGTTTTGCTCCCATCACCTCCCACCCCTCAGCATGCAATTATTGATTTCTTATTGAAAAATATTTTTGGTTCGTTTCTGGGCCATGCATAATGGTGCTCAGGGCTCAGGTGCTCAGGTTCTCTTGGCTCTAAAATCAGGGATCACTCCTGTTGGAGCTTGTGGGGTCATATGGTATGTCAGGTATCCAACTCAGGTCAGCCATAAGCAAGGCAAACACCCATTGCACTGAACTTCTTCTTCAATTCCCCTTATTTAAAAATGTTTCAGTGGTAAGTGAATTTCTTCCTATTTCTGTCTTAATTTGTGTAGGAATGCTCTAAGTTTTTTGAGTGCAATTATAACTTTGCAGAAGATAGCATTCATTTTATGGCAAGAAAAGCTGTGACACTAAAGCATTCAGTTTGTCCCCTTTGACTTGATTGGCTTGGAGTACTCTTCTAAGATATTCTTTTTTTCTAAGAGACTCTGGAAAAGTATTGGTCAGAATTAATGGTTTTGAAAGAATGACTCAGCTATAGACCACTTGACTCTAAAACTTTGGCTTAGGTGCATACATTGCACATGATGCTTTTTATTTCTAAGAGTTTGTTCTGGTCTTATCTGATGCTGACAGTCATGGAGTATGTTTGCAAAGTTCTCTGTCATTCCCATTCTATCTTTTGCTGATAAGAAAACATACTGTTATTTGCAGAATTCCATTTCTAATTCTAGTAGTATTCATTGTGTGGGTTGAATTCATGCCTACATCGTGTGCTTGTATAGGAAAGGTTTCCTTGATGTTTTTTTATCTTTTGTCATATAATAAGTGGACACTATTTTGGGCATAAAGACATTATTGATTTTGATCCAGTGATGTATTCTAACTACCTTTTAACCTAGATTGTCTACATCATACCTATTAACTGTCCTTATGTGCCAGGTCACCTTAAGATGGTATAATTCTGCTCAAAAACTATTCCTAATGAACTGTAAATGGGCTCAGTTAAGTAAGTTGTGTTAATTATGTCATTTGCAAGATTGCCTAATGTGGAATCAGTCAGTAGGCTAGAAACTGCTTGTCAAATATTTCCTTTAACTAATGTGATATTTTGTGGTTAGCAAATGACACAATTCACATAACTTATTTGATGGAACCTCATTAACCACTGCTAGTTTGGTTTAGCAAAATTATGTTATTAAACATGCCATGATAGTTTCTGTCCTCATTACTTTGCATATAGTCCAGTGAATCGTATTTGTTTTGTGACATCTATTTTCAGTTCTTCGTTTTCGAGGAAGCCAAGGGAATGTTTTGTTCTGAGTCATGTTTCTGATGTGTTTTCTCACATTGTATTTGTTTAGTTTGGTATTGGTTAATAGAACCTGAAGCTGTATTTATTCATCATTGCTATGCCCAAAAGCCTGTTGAACATTTTCACCGTTTTCTATTTATTTACTCTCTTCTGCCAAATCTGTTACCTTTTTTTATATTTTGTTATCTTTTTGTTTAAACAGAAATTTCTGAGCAGTAGATTTAGTTTTAAAAGCCATATACATAGAGTAATTGTGACAAGCATAGTAAAAGTGAACTAATTTTTCACTGTTTTCATATTGACTTCTAGGAGGAAGCCCTTGCATTTAGAAATAAAACACTTTTCTAATGCCATGATCTACAAACTGTTGTAGTGCCATTGTCTAGAAGTATTTTCTGTGTGTCTTTAATTGTTATTTATTTTTTAATCTGACATTTTAAAAAGTGAACTCATTCAGTATTTTTCTCTTTCTGGCTTTTTCACTTACCATAATCAACTTGAGGCCCATTAGTGTTTTTGCAAGTGTTTTTGTTTCTTTTTGGCTCAGTGGTATTCTATTCTTAGTATACATGTCCATAATACATGTATTCATGTGTATGTATGTGCATATATCGTATATACCCACATGTGAATATGCATAGAATATATATTTTTATATGAGTATGTATAACAGAATGTATGTTTTAATTGTGATTTAATACTATATGTTTGTTAAGACAGTTTTTTATTGCATTGATGACTCCATATAATCCTTATTTTAAAGACTCTAATCTTAGGCATACTGCATGACTGCCGATTAGTGTTTAGCTTCTGTTAATTAATTTGTGTTCAGTGGTAGAGTGAAGTATTCTTTCATAGATTGGGGGATAGTTGAATAGGGTTAGGAATATAGTCCATGTTTCTGAAGTCAAATCAGCTGACTCAAAATGTAAATATCATATTGATCTAAGTTTCTTTCCTTTTTTAAGACTTTATCCCCAAGAAGGGGCACACCATTCCTGGAAGTACTGCAATACCAGTCCAATGCATGGAGTGGATGGAGCAAGCTTCTATTCCAACTCCTAGTGCCAGAAATTCATTTAAAACAATGTCCTAGGATAGAGGATGTACTAGATATTAAACTGATAAGAACAGATACTACAATTTGATATTTGCCAAAAAACAGAGAAACAGTGCTCTAAATCTGATGTACTCTTCAAACTGTTTAAGGAGATCAGATTTAATGTTTGCTTTCAGTTTCTAGTAGTACTTTGCGAGTAAAGTAGTTATTTCCTCACTGAAATGAAGTCTGTGTATTTTTTAATTACTTACATTTTGATAGAAAACTGTTGAATACCAAATGAAATCTACGTATTTTTGAATCTCTTACATTTTGATTGGAAAACTATCGAAGAGTACTTGACCTTATAACTTGTGACCTCCTATTCTCTCCCATTTTCAGAAATCTTTGCACTTGGATTAAACCTCTTTATAAAGTTATTGTTATATTGATTTGTTCCCTAAAACATCACCCCAAGAGAGGACTTTCTGTGTAATGGAAGGACCAAATATACATACAACCTATACATTGACTTTTCATCATCTCCAGTTTGGCTGCCCTTTGATTTTCCCCCTCTCCTTACTTCCCTCCCACCCTCCACCCCCCACTTGGCCACCCAACTAGCAAGGCTACCCTCTGTCAAAGTCTGTCTTTAAGGATGTTATTCTTCCTGTGGTCTCCCCTTTTCTTCCCACCTTCTACCATCCCTCACCCATACCACACACATTCCGCCAAGTCTCTGTGTAGAGTTGGCAGCAGATTCCACCCCAGTCCTTGTTATGTAACCCACCACCTACCCCTTTTTGGCAAAGGATCCCCGACATTGCAAGTTGTAACAAAGAGTGGAGTTAATTGGAACATGTGCTATGCTCAAGACTGCACAAAGACGAGCTGATAGACATCAGGAAAATACAACCATATGTAGATGTTTGCTTGAGAATATAAGTATACATGGGAAATGTCATTCTCAACTGGGTTTCATTTAAATAAAATCAACTGCTATTCTCTTACTCAGTTATCCACCCTTACTCTCCTCCTAATATATAAGATTTTTAACTTGCTGCCTCATGTCTGCTCTTGGGTGGGCATGGTCTTTGAAATTGACAAGCGAAATAGAATTGTGTTATATTTCCTATGAAGAGCCTCACATTACCTTACTTGAGATTTAACTATGGGTATGAGCCCAGTGAACCTTCAGTCCACTTACAGTTGTAATATGGCCCGTGCCTTTTGTGGACTTCTGTTCCTATATTTGTATCCGCTTTATAAGTTTAGAATAGCCTTTGTTTTCATAAAATGAATAGGTTTAAAGTTAGTGTCTTGAGTTATAACAAGTAAAGTCACTCAAGTTAAGCTATATTCCAATCAAAATGCTTGTCATTTTGATCACCCTGTATTGTTCCCTGATGCCCCTTTCTATGCATTTCTCCTACAGTCAACAACTAATTTGTCATGAATAGATTATTTGCCTACTTTAGAACTTTACAGGCATTGTATCATATGTTACATAATACTGTGTTGAGTTTGACTTTGTTGTTTGACAAAATCTTCGAATATTTATATTGTTTTGAATATCAAAAGTTTATTCTTATTACCAGGTATTAAGTAATTCATTGTAAAAATTAATTTAAAATAGTTGTACATCTTTTATACTCTTTCTGTAAATGTAAAAATCCTACCATTACAGAATTATTTGGGTTTGACAAATTATTTGTTTTATGTCTGTTGTAATTAGAAAGAGTTTATATTGTCCTGCTGCCTCACCCCCACCCCCCACCCATATGTGCTGTAATTCCTTAGTAGTGGAAGGACCACTGATTTCAGTATCTTAGGTTTTGGTTGTTCTTAGTCTACATTCTTGAATATTTAGGACAGAAGTGTCTTCTGTGTACTGAGATGTTTCAGAGACAACAGGTAGAAGACAGCAGAAGTTTTACTCCTTACATATAGGGTTTCTGTAACAGTCTCAGGGTATTTTCAGAACTCTTGGGAATGGTCCAGGAACGTAATACTTCAAAATCTCTGTAAGTGTATTTTAGACTCTGGAAATATCTTTCCTGACTGTTTTTGTTTTTACTTAATAGCTTTTGAGGGGCTTAGAAACCCTAAATACTTGTGTACTTGAGTTAGCATTTAAGAAATTACTGCAGACCCACTAGTCTAGATGTTTTGGGAACAAAGTTGCTGGGTGATTAGGTTAATAGTAGCTACTCTTTATTAAGCTTCTTAATCGTTACAGGCAGTGGAATAAGACTTTATGTACTCTATCTCATATATAATCTAATACCCTATTTATGTAAGTACTAATATTATTTCCATTTGATAGCTGAAGAAACTAGTCCTTGCGTAATTTACCCAGTGTTATAAATCTAGTAATAGATGAGGAAAGGATTTAATTCTAGATCTGATATACAATTTCCCAAAACCCTCAATGTATTGCAAATAAATTTGATTTTTTTCAAAAGTTTTAAGTTGGTGATGTGATGATGTAGGCATATGTAGAATTAGATAGTTTACTGTAATTTTTAAATTGTTGAAAATAGTGGGAAATAAGAAATTGCAATGGAGCCTCTAACCATTTGGATATCTTTCATTTAGAGATCTTAGAACATGTGAGACATATGAAAGAGTTCTGTTTATGAAGAATAAGATTTCTTACTCTGGCAATAATTTTGAAAAATGAACAATTTGGATCATGAGTCTTGACTTTCCAGCAATGCTACAGTGCTGAAGAACCAGTTTCCTCATGCCTCTTACCATAGCCTTTCAAAATTCTCTATTTTTCATATTGATTCTGTATATTTATAATCACTTGAAAATTTTTATTTTATTTAAAAATTAAAAAAATATTTGCTCACCATGAACTACAGAATTATTAATAATTGGGATTCACGCATATAATGTCCTCGTATCAGTCCTTTCAGTATCCACTTCCTCCACCAATGTCTCCAGTTTCCCTCCCGCCCACCACCAACTTGTCTCTATGACAGGCACATTTGAAAAAAATTTTTCACACTGATTTACAGTACTGTTACTGATAGGGTTTTCTTTCATAACTTTACCATCCTTCAACACTTTCTCCTCTTCCTGCTTCTCCTGGTTGACCCTGTGCTCCATCATTGTGTGTTCTCTTCCCTGTATTATCCCACTCCCTCTTTGCAAACTTCCTCCTGAAGATTAGTATTTTATTTCACTTTCCTTAGGCATTTTCCATCCCCTTCCATGCTTCTTTAGACCCTGCATACAATAGAGATTATTCTGTGTTGGTCTCTTTGCCTCTAACTTCACTCAATCTGAGACTGTCCAGATCTATCCAGATGGTAGCAAATTGCATGATTTTACCTTTTCTTTCAGCTGAGTAATATTCCCTTTTCTCAATATAATGTAGTTTCTTTATTCATGCATCTGTTCTTGGGTGCTTGGGTTATTTCCAGATTTTGGCTATTGTGAAAAATGCTACAGTGAACATATAAGTGCAAATGTCTTTACCCCCATGCCCCATTTTTTACCCCTGGGGTGTATTCCAAGAAGTTGATTTGCTGGTCAAACAGAAGCTTTCGGACATTCTTTTCTCTCATCCAAGTAAAGTTTCAAAGAAGCAAAATTGGTAACCTTTATCAAGATTTAAAGAATATTATTAAATTTGCCACTTAAACATTAGAACACTGTCAGAAGACTTTTTATTACCTGTGAATATTAAGGAGAGTTAAGTGTAATTTTCTAAGTCTGCTTCATGGCTAGGTTATATTGTCCTTTATATCTTTGTTTGTTTGTTTGTTTGTTTTGCTACTTGATCTGGTTTATTACTGCCTTTGAAAACCTGCACAAAAACATTTGCCTGATTTAATTAATTGGAACTGTCCTCCCATTGTTCATCAAGTTGCTCAGCGGGCCCAGTAACGTCTCCATTGTGAGAATTACTGTTACTGTATTTGGCTTATCGAATACCCCACAGGAAGATTGCCAGGATTTGCCATGCGTGCGAGATACTCTTGGTAGCTTGGCAGGCTCTTGGAGAGGGGCGGAGGAATCGAACCTGGCTCGGCCGGGCCGGCCAAGGCGCGTGCAAGGCAAATGCCCTACCTGCTGTGCTGTCCCTCCAGCCCCTTTACAGGACTAATGAAAAAAATGACCATTTGCTTTAATTAATTAAATAATTTTTCAGGGGTGGTGAGCAGCCACACCTGACAGTGCTTTGGAGACTATTCCCAGCCCTGTGCTCAGGCGTCACTCCTGGCAATGATTAGCGTTGCATATATGCTGCCAGGGACTGAATCAGGATTGACAGCTGTGCCATCTTCTACTATAGCCCTAGTTTGATTTGTTTTAAAATACTATAGAATATTTAATGAATTTGTGTGCCATCCTTGTATGGAGATCATGATAATCTCTGTGATACTGAAGTGCACACAAATCCTTTAGACTTTTAAGGAAGGAGACAAATCAAAATAAAAAATGCTGCAGAAACATAAGCCAAAAACAAAGGAAGAGTCAAGAACAGAAACCTGTAAGCAGCATTTGCCCTCATTTTGGGAAGTACATCCTTTCCTTTGACACTGGTTTCACTGTATGTTATTTGATATGTCCTGTTTACTCTTTTTTCATTTTCTCCTGACACTATAAAGCTGATACTTCATGTTAACTTTGTTATATCACTAATTGAACACTTCCTTTCATGTTTATTATTATTAGTTTAAAATACAAGTTCTGATTTACATAAACACAAGTCAGGATTAAAAAAAGAGGAATGTTTCAGAGAATTGGGGATTATTCATAGTCTTAATGACTATAGATGGCCATATATCTAGACTGTATTTGTGATTTTTTTTTTAGTGATAATAATAACTAATGAAAGAAAATTCAGTTTTAAATTTTACTGTTTGTGAAAAATATGTTTCGATACTTGATACTGTCGGAAAAAGGAAATCTTGCTTAAAAGTCAAGTTTAAATCAACATACATTGAAGCAACATATATCTTAACTTGAAATTCCCCTATTTTCTGCTAATGTTCAGTGAATTGAGTGGTACACTGTTGGTTAGTCTCCCAAAACTGGGTTCTTTCACCAGTCTACCCCTCATGTTTTTGGCAAGTTGAGAATGAATATGTCTTCTGTGGACTACATTTTGACTTGAT